TAGAGTTGAAGATGTCAATGTTTTCAAAGTCCTTCTGTAATTTACCATGTTACTCTATGTGTATAGTGTGGAATTCATAATTAGAAATACTTTTCTGGCATTAGAGGAGCAGCATTTGTTCTCCATTCACTTTAAAGTCTTAATTTTCCCAAGACACAATGGCCTCTAGTGAATTAAGGCTATTTTCTCCCATGAATGCAGAAAGAAAAGGGGTTGAATAAGATGTTTACATTTTTCTCATAGTAAATCATAAATACAGAGTAGATGCACACAAAAAAGGAAGCATTGCATTTATGACTACATACATTGTTTTTGGTAATTAAAACATATGTTTAAGGTAACAATATAGGCTTATTTAATATTTCCTGCTTCCAGTTTTTTAATCAGACAGTTCACAGAGAAGTCAAAAGATATTTTATACCAGGCCACTAAATATAGCAGTGTAAAGTATTGGGCTATGTGCACAGGTGTGGTTTTTAAGACAAACTGAATTATTTCTTCTATTTCCAGTTCCAAGGAAATTATATAATGATAGTTTCTTAGAAATTGTCTCCGAGGCTAACACTGCAAAGTAAAATCAAATAAAGCTGGACTAAACATTGTCTGCTTAAAAACCCTTGGTAAGAAAAAGTCACAGATGAATTCTAGAGCTTATTTGTATAGCTTTGACCTGAAAGAAATGTGTAATTATTAGACTGAACATTTACTTAGGAATTCAAAGTCAAATAAAGCCATACTGTAAAAAAAGCTTTTCACAGCAGTTTTGTCTTTAGGAATGTCCACTCTATACATATAATATAAAAAGCTATAAAAATGTATTGAGTCCATTTGTTTACTATATCCCAGAAAAGGGTCTAGCCTACAGTAAGTACAAATACCTGTTGAGTGAATATTTTTTGAAATAATAAACAGAAGTTGTTGCATTAAAAAATAGCCTCAGAATCAGTCACCTTAAGGTTTGTTTTTCTCTTTTTGAGGTGGGGTCTGGCTATATTTCCCTGACTGACTTCAAACTTCTGGGTTCCAGCAGTCCTCCCGCCTCTGCGTTCCCGGTGACTGGGACTACAGATGCATACCACCACCTTGAGGTATGTACTTGAGGTATGTTTTTTAAATCAATTTGCCTTAAAAATACCCCAGAAATAGTTTTTGGATGACCTTAAGTATAATGCCTTTAAGATATATTTGTATTTTTGGTAGTAGGGAGCAAAACATCAAATTTATGTTACTATTTCAAAATATTTATAAAATTATCACAGTTTATTCTATTGTATATCATTTTTACCTGTGTGATTGTCATAGCATTACTAAATCTTAATACAGTGAAGTTTCCTTTAGTACTAGCTTTTTGGTTAACTGGGGGATTCTCAGACAATCAACTCATTTCTAAATACATTTAGTACTAAGGCAATTGCAAATGTGTTGTCCACAAAGAAGACTTTATAGTTTCAGACAGATTTAATTTAACAAATATCAAAAGAAAGAAAGAAAGAAAGAAAGAAAGAAAGAAAGAGAAAACAGTAGGTGTAATTGCATAATTAAGGACCACAATTTTCTCTAAAATATTAACATATCCTTCCACCAGAGGGCAATATTTGCAAGACATTTAAATAATTACTCTAAATCCTCACACAGGGATATAAACAAATAGAAACCTATTACATTGCTGTTGGTTAATACCTTGTGTACATCTTGAAAAATACTATGAATGCAATTATTTAAACAATTGCATATAATACTCAATGTATACATATAGTGAAACAACAAATAAGGTAACTCTTCTTTAAATATGTAAATAGAACTTTCAGAAAGAAGCACATTTCTACATATTAGTATTTTTTCCATTTATTATTAATCATTTATCTCAAATATAATAAAAAAAAACTTAAGGTGGGAGAAACAACAAAAGAAAAGAAGTTTTATATCAATGGGTAAAGTCATGAAAAGGCATAAAATTTTACAAGCAGAAAGGATAATAGAAACCACACAATACAAGCCTTCATTTGTACCAGTAAGAAAACTGGCTCATTAATGTTCAACGATTGATACAAAATTGCAGAGATGATAATCAGTAGAACCAGGACCCAAACTCAGGTAAACTGATTTCACATTTCATACTCCATGATGTTGATGTTCACAATGTGATCCTTAGGCAAGCAGTTGTGGAAATTTGTTACAATTGCTGGATATTGGGCTCCACTCTAGACCTATTGAATCAGAATCTGTATTTTAACAAGACCTTAAACTATGAGAAACTACTCTAACCTGTGCTGTTTTCTCATCACCAGTTACGCGACTTCAGGTAATTACTAAATCTCACTTTCCTCCTTGATAACATGGGAATACAACTGTTTTAGTTTAAGGAATAATTATAAAGAATAAATAAGTTTATCATGTAAATAAAAGCTACTCATAAATTGTAATATGGTATGCACATTACATTAATTATATTCAGTGAAAACTTCTCCTTTTATTGTTCACAGTTCTTGACAAGAGGGACAATTCTTCCCCTAGAAGAAAAGTGGTCTAATAATGCAATTTAGGGCTTGTTAAAATTGGATGTAAAATATTGGGGATTTTAGTTAAAAAATCTTGACAGAGAGAGGAAGTCTTTTTCTGACATGCTTAAATTAATGTCCTACATATAACTACTAGTGTTTCTTTGCGTTAAGATAAATCTGATGAATTTAGGGCTGCAAAAGCACATGTTCAGCATTGCAATTTGTGTCCACCCATGAAGAAAATCTGTTGGGTTAGCAAATGGTGTCTGAATATATGTTTCTTACATTGGGTGCAGCTATGGGTTTAAAGCCAGCCTAAATGACATTCTTCAGTCTCAGGTGGTCTAGTAATATTTCTTGTAATTCTCCACATACAACATTTTTCATAGTTTATGGAAATACCATTAAATACATCCCCTCTGGCTGGGGTGTTATCCAAATACCACCACTCCAGCCTGCCGAACTCCACTGAACTGCCGTCATCTTTATAGAACTACATTTATTTTAACTATTAAGACAGACAAGAAAACATTGTCTCCTGAAATATATTCTGGACATTTTCACTCCCAGGCTGGGTTACTTAACTTGTGTAATTTCACTCATAATTATTTGAAATTGTATTTATGTGTCTATCTCCCATGTAGCTTGTGAGATATTTCAGGGAGAATTCCCAGATCTAATATTATTCTTGACACTCAATGAATATTTTTAGAATGAATAAATCAATATTACCAGTTATTCTGATTCAGTTGCTCATCCTATTACCAAGAGAGTGGAAGAGAGAGGAGGATGACATTCATTTCAATCAAGGTGAATATAACTGTTTTACTCTAAAAACAATGCTTTGGTGTTAGATTTATATTGCTTAGTGTTCCTTCATATTTGTATATTGGAGATGTAGCTATCATGTTTACTGATGGTTTAGGTAGATCTCTAGTCATTTGTGGTGCAACTTAACCTGGAGTGCTTAGGAAAATCATTTATATATCATCACCCCAGCTTCACAAATATTTGTTGTAAATTCTAATTTTTTTGTATAACTTCCCAGAATTCCAAAATCATTAATATCTCTAAATAAATATGATTTAATGAACTTAGTTACTAAAGATTTGAAAAATACAGATATTTTGAAAACACCTAGATAAGTCAAGTCCTGAGTATCTTGAATCTTTTAATCTTTTTCCTTTTTTTTTTTTCTGTAAGGAAGTAGTAGTTTAGTGAGGGATTTTTTTTTGTCCCTTTATACTTGATCTTGAGAAATAGATATTATTGTGAGGCATCACATGGTTTCAGAGAAAATTCAAATTCACAGTTTTATTGAAGATATGTATTTTAACACAAATTTATCAAAAAAGATAGAAATATCTTCATTATACTTTTCCTTATCATATTTCACAATGGAAAATAATTTGACACTATCAAACTTAATAATGGCAAATGGTTTTAGCTACTTTGACATTTTTTTTTCCAGCTATCCATTCAGTGAATACATAGCCATTATATCACTTGAACTATTCAGGTAATATTATTATTTGAATCTGAATTTAGATCCATACTTTTGAGATTTTGTCTTAGGATCTTAAGTAAAATTGACTCCCTCTGTTGGCTTATATGACATCCAAGGTTTTGACCTTGAAAATGTGGTTCAAGGCCAATCTGTTTTGTAAGCATTGGCCTGAGTTGTACACAAGAAGTTTGTGATTCATGTGAAAGAGATTAATAATTTATATTAATCTAGCACAGTTTTCTTGCTTTGCTTAATGAGATAAATTCATTGATGCTGTACCTATATACATAAAACCAAAAGTCTTACATGAATGTCTTTCAAAACTTATGCTTTAGGGGAAGGAGATACAAAGAAAAATAAAATATGATTTGAATGTAATATATGTAAATTAGAATAAATCTTTTTGTTAATAAATCTTTAAATTATCAATTACAATTTGTTGGCAAGCACAAGGTATAGCCACATATTTCATCAGTATATTGGTTTTCAGTAGTGCATTGTAAATTAGTTAAATAAAGATACTTAAAATTCCAAGGAATTTATATTAAATTAACTCTCTTTTATTAATCAACTTCACTGAGTTTATAGTTATTCTTTTTTCTCTCCTCCCACCTCTTTTTATTTATTTCTCCCTTGCTCTAGTCTTCCTTCTCTCCCTTTCTTTCTTTCATCTTTTTCCTGTCAGAGGTTAAAGCAAACACATGAACAATATAATTGTGTATTTTGTGTGCACATATTTTATATTCAAGGGACCCTAGGTGTCTTGGAACACCACAAGCATAAGTTAAATATATTGAAATCTTTCTTGCCTGCAATACTGGCATCAGCGTGCTGGACAAAACGTAGCAAACTAGAAGTAACTTGTCAATTTTTAATAAAGTTGTCTTCCCTAGCAGAGCTAAATGCACCATTCTCCCTGCAAACTCTGGAGATGATGACATCTTCCCACATGGTTTCCATAGCATCCGTTCCTGAAGAGCCCCAGTATGGTCCTTGGTCAGGGCGATCCGCCCAGCTCCCCTGGAAAGTTGGCAACCTAGCTAGCCAAAAGAAGCATCCCCTTTTCCTGAAACTTACTCTGTCCGTGGTGCTGAACCATTGTACTGAGACCCGCCCAGACGGGCGCTGTTAACCGCTGAAAAAAGATATTCCCTGACGCTGCCCAAATCAGAACGGTGTATCTTTTATTTACTCACGTCCTCAAAGAGCAGCAAGCCTTCTCCATCTTAATTTGACTCTACCGCAGAGCAGAGTTACGCTGGCGTGATGGGAGGAGATCATGGGCAGAGAGGAAAAACTAATAGCAGCATTGCTCACCTGAGACCTGAGATGCTCCCATGAGTTTTGAATATGCTCTGTTCCTTACGGCAAAGACACCATTTTTAAAAGTACTATTCTTTTGACTTTGTTGTTACCCAAGGGTTCTGTGACATTCCGGCCCCTCCGTTTAAAAACCAGCAGATTTGAGAGCAGTAAATCTTCAAAACGGGGAATTTACATTGTTTTTCAGCTGACCGACTTCCAGGACAAGGACTCAACCGCATCTACCCAAATACCATGGTACTGCTTGCGCCCTTTGCCACCGGATCCTCCCCTTCCAATGAGACTTTCTGATTGTGTCTACCAACTCTCCTATTAGGAAACCCGTGGGTTGCATGCAGCTATTCTGTTGTATTCTCATTCTCACTCTCCCTCCCTTCTCTCACTCTCACTCTTGCTGGAGGCAAGCCACTACCATTCTGCTGAGAAGGAAAAACCAACAACTACTTTAAGAGATTAAGACAATATGCGCAATCCTCGCCGTTTTTAGCAATCACTATTTAAATCTGGCAAGAACCGACAACAGTCTTTGCAAGAATGGAATCAGTAAAACAAAGGATTTTGGCCCCAGGAAAAGAGGGGCTAAAGAATATTGCTGGAAAATCCCTCGGCCAGATCTACAGGTAAGACAAAGGAAACCGTTGCTTACCTGGGGCTCAGCATGAAAAAATCTGCAGGGCCGTTTCCGTAAACCCTGGTGGCTCAGAAAGATTGTAATATGATCGGAAAGTCTTTTTGTTGCCCATTGCTTGGAGCAGGGGTGCTCTGGAAACCTGCTTATTAATGCAGGAATGTTGCACTAAATGAACCTGTCTGGTGTGTGTGTGTGTGTGTGTGTGTGTGTGTGTGTGTTTGATTTTTGCTTTGGTGACTGCAGAGTTTTATCCTTTATTATACAGGATTTATCTCCTTTACAGTTAAGAAATAACCAGCACCTGCTCAAACAGCGTTTCTTTTGGTGCTCATAGAATGCCCCAAATTAAATTCCTTTCATGCAGACAAATGAATATAAAACACAACCCTCTAAAAATATTAACCAAGAAATTCCAAAGAGTAATAGTTTATATATTATTAATATATATGTTATATATGTATATATGCTATATATATGTGTGTGTGTGTATATATGTTGGGGAGAGAGAGAGAGGTCTCAGCTTCGAAAGCATAGTAGAGAATCCCCTAGTGGAATATGTCTTCTGCATTGAATGAAGAAGAATCAAAATATATCAATAATTGATAGTTGAAGCAATTCCTTTCTCTATGACTGAAACAATGTATATGCATTTTTAATTATTTTCATCTCCTAGAGTCTATTTCTTGCATAGGAAATGTCAATGCCTGGAAGAACAGCCATAAATATAACAGGCAACATTACTTTGAAAGTCCTAGAAATGATTTAATTATTGAATCCTCCGATAGTCACTACACTAATTATGCTGTAATTTGCAAAACTTTAAATCATTTCAAGTATGTGATATGGATACAGCTTTTCTTAATAATTAGAGCAAAATCAAGAAGACAGAGCAGACATAAAAGGAAAAAGAATTACAAAGGAGCGCTAATTTTAATATTTGGGAAATTGAAGTCTCTGTAAATGCATGAGAAATGTAAAGAAAATTATCAAACCACTCCCAAATTTTCCGAATCTCTTCAGGTTTGGCGGGCTTCATGTAGGCACGATTATGCACCTATGCGGCAGTAGATACCGCAAGGGCCCTGCAGTCCCACAGCTACCATGGAAAGGGATGTTCTTTCCCAGTACAACTGCCATCCGGCGCAGAGTTCAACTTTGTAGATTTGAGCACACGAAGCCAATACAGGAAAAGAAAACACACACACACACACACACACACACACACACACACACACACACATTGGCTGAATTTTTTTCTCCCAATAAAAAGAAATTGCAATATTTTCTAACATTATGATCAGACTTTAAGAATAAACATTAACCTAGCCACAAATACCTTTATGACCTATTCTCCAGGTGCTTTTTATAGAATTTGGAAGCCTGACATTTTTTTCTGGTGGGCTCAAACTGCTTGACAGCAATATTCCAAGCTATGCATATTTGAAATTAATTGTAAAAATTTCGCTTGTTTCACCCGTGTGTGTGAAAACAATTGGGTGTGCACATAGCATTTAAAACGGCACAGGTGAAAAACAATTACATGGTAGACTGGAAAAAATTTCTGCAAATTGTAAACGGAGAGGCTCTTTGTTTAAATATCGAAAGTATAAATCGCAAGGGGCTACGTACGGAGATGTTATCTTATACATTCCTTTCGTTTGTTTGTTGTTAATAGAAATTTCATAAATATGTTGTAGACTAGAACACTGCCACCTTTTAGTAAAACCATTCCTTTTCTCCGCGTTCCCCTTTTCATTTACCCCTTCTCCCAAGGACCAAAGCCAAAAATGAATTGATGGTTGAAATCTCATGAAACACTATGCAAAAACAAATATTGAAGTGAGATCTTCCCCTTTGATGTGGAATATCTTACAAAAGTTGATATGGGAGCACGTTTGTGTATCTGGGAGTCGCATTTTGCGTCTTGGGAAAGGGATCCTTGACATTTTTCGGTGTTTGTAAGAGAGAGAGTAATGACGCAAGATTGTGAATAATTAATTATTCATGTTCTGGCAGTAGGAAGCTTAGGTGTCGGCCATATGCTGTAGAGTCCTTTGTCTCCAACTCCAGTAATAAGGAAAAAAAAATAGTAAGAAGTGTAACAGGGGCGTAAGCATTGAACTAGAACCCTGGAGCGGGATGAAGGGGAAGGAGAGTGCATGACACTCTCGGCGAGAGCTCTCAGGCCTTCTTCTCATGCACAAGCACTGGCCTAGAGAGGCCCTAGTCCCGGGGGTGCCCCAGGCTCAGCTCCAGGGGTGAGCTGGGGGACAGAATACCAGCATTGCCAACCTGGAAAACCTCAGCTTGCTAGAAACGGAAAAGGCAGCGCGGGTGGAAAAGGCTCTCAAGTTGGGCCCGCCTGCAGCGGAGTAGCCCTCTGGTGCTGGGTTGCAGGAGGACACCGCGGTTGTCAGGGTTAAGCTCTGCTGGGCGCGGGTAGGAGTGGGAGGTCCCTACTCAGGTGCAGAGGACGCTCTGGTAACCCCTGCCCTCACAAAATGCAGACCTTGCAGACTCTGCAAGAAAGTTAGGCCCAAGCGGCCTGTGTATCTGAATCAGAGCGCCCAGGGGTGGATCCCGAGACAGGGACTCGCTACCTTAGGCCTAAAGGTGCTAAAGTTGAAGCGATGTCGCCGCCGCGGCCAAGGGCACCTGCAGAATGTGAGAGAGTGTGGGAGGTCTTGCAGCTTGGTGTCACCCCACCACCCTAATCCCCGAGGGTGGGGTGAGGTCGACGGCACTCCTCCCAGCCCCTACGGGTCCTGAAAAATGGGAATGGGTCAGCATCGGGGGTGCCTAAGCCGCCACGTCCTTGACTCGCCCCTGCTCTGCCGCGCAGGGTGCTGGAGAAGAAGCAAGACACCAGGGAGACGATCGAGCTGACGGAAGATGGGAAACCCCTAGAGGTGCCCGAGAGGAAGGCGCCGCTGTGCGACTGCACATGCTTCGGCCTGCCGCGCCGCTACATTATCGCCATCATGAGCGGCCTGGGCTTCTGCATCTCCTTCGGCATCCGCTGCAACCTGGGCGTGGCCATTGTGGACATGGTCAACAACAGCACCATCCACCGCGGGGGCAAGGTCATCAAGGAGGTGGGCAACGTCTGGCCGCCCTGGCTCCCGCCCTTCGGCCATGCGGCCTCGCAAAACCATATCTCCTGTGTGAGCTCCGTTTTTCCCCACTGAAAGGAAGGTTTGGGTGCTCCCTAAGCTCCTCGCTAACTCTGCCGTTCTAGAATGGACCCCAGTAGTGTTATCAGTTCCCTTTTCGCTCTGCTGTCTGGGCCTTCCCTTCCTCACCTGCAAAGTAGAAAAGAGCGTCTAGCTCACCAGGTTTTGTGAACTGTGACTTAATACAAGACGTTGGTGACTAGCAATGTCCACTAAGTCTAAATAGAAGTGTGTTTGTTTTACTTGGGTGAATAGTGCAGCATATTAATTATAGTTTTCCCAGGACTTCATTCAGTCCCCCCCAAAACATTCTTAATATTCAAAATGAAACAAACTGGAAAACAAACTCAGCTGTGTTCATATCAGCAGGTTCGGCTGAGGGGTCTTTGGGAAGGTTTACCTCTCCCAGGAGGAGCCACAACGTAAGAGGGTCCCAGGGTGGCAGGGAGTCGAGCCCAGAGGGGAGGGTCACGTCAAGGTCACAGAACCCCTGGGTCCGGACTTCCTTCTTAGAAACCCCAACTGCCGTAAACCAGACTAAGCAGGAGTTGAGAGCAGAAACTGGGGAAGGCTCTTGGAATCTGGGAGACTTTGCAAAATCCGCTGGGTGTCAAAATATCAAAGGAGAAAAAGGGTCCCCAGTTCTCAGGCGGGAAAAGCGCGCTCCCACCTTTCGGACGTAAATATTGCGACCCAGTTTACTTTGAGGTTCCCCTCGGGAAGTCACCCAAGCTGATTAGAACGGAATTAGACCTCCACCTTCAGAAATACCCCTGCCCCGCATTTATTAAAACCCCTGAGCAATGACTCCCTCTCCCTTTACTCCTCCCAATTCACCGACTACTCCAAATCCTTCAGGCCCATATCCATCCCCATTTGTGGGGACACCCTTTCTCTTAGCCACCAGGAGTCCTGCATCTTTCATCCTTCGCTCCCCACCTTCCTTCCCTCTCCACTTTCCTTCCCCAGAATTTCCCTATTTAAGTCTCCAGGGTTAGAAGTCACTACACTACTGCATCCGCATTGACCGGATTCGTTAAGTGGACCCCTGCCAGGCGTCTCCACATCTGGCTAACAAATCTCTTCATGGGGAGTCCGAGTTTCCAAGACGGGCCCTCTAGATTCCTCCATTCAGATGATTCGATCTGCCTGACAGCAGTCGGGGAGCAAAGCCGGTGCGCGCGGCCTCACTATTAATCATAATACATTTTGTTAATGAGAAAGGTTTTTTCGTTGCAAGAGGCAATTTTGTTAGGAAACGAAAATGAAGCCACTCTTATCCCCGGAATGCATGAAGCGCCCAAGCGTTGGGGGCTTTTTGGCTTGTGAACCTCTGAAAGTGAGCCTTTGGCACTGACGCTACTCTTTCCCTTCACGCTTATTTCTCCTACCCCTCCATAGAAAGCCAAATTCAACTGGGACCCGGAAACCGTGGGGATGATCCACGGTTCCTTCTTTTGGGGCTACATCATCACCCAGATTCCGGGAGGCTACATCGCGTCTCGACTGGCAGCCAACAGGTAACGCACCAGGCGGGGCTGGGGCTCAGGGCGTGGTGTTTGTTCCTTCCGAAGGGGCAGCAGAAGCTGGGAGCGGAGACAACAGCCCAGAGGGGTTTGAGGACTCCCAAGCGAAGTCTTCTAGTCCCTTGACAACACCCCGTCAGGGCTGGAGCTGCTGGTGACTCCTTCCAGAATTAGTCGTCTAAACGAATGCGGGCTCTCTGGGACCGGGGCACGCGGCCTCCTTCCCTCTGCTGTGGCTGAACTTGCTTTTGGCGAAATGATCGACGTGCTTTATAGCCTGACCCGAGCTCAGGGCAGACCGAAAGCAGGCAGAGCAGGGACCGTGTGCCTGAGTGCACAAAGGAGTGGGGAACGGCAGATGCTGCGCTGTCTCCTGCACTCCCCACAGTCGTCCAGGCTCCCCGAGGGTCTGACCTCCTGGCAAGGCGCCTCGAACGGCTGGCCCCGTACCCCGCCCAGTTCGTGCTCTGGGTTTGAAGAATTTGTTTCTAGGAGGGGCAGGAACCAGCGATGCGATTCCACCTGTTAATGAGCTGCTTAGGGGCGGGGGTTGGGGGAGCCCTCAGCTGCTTTCAGTGGCCTCCTGCCTTGCTGCGGTGTCCACAACCAAGGTCCTAGCGCCTGTTCCCAGAAGCGCCACCAGCGGCACCTGCAGAGACACCCCTAAAGCATAAGTCCTAAAGACTGATGGAGTGGGGGTGTCGACCGGCATAGCCTGGCCACCAGAAGGTGAAGGGTAGGTTCCTTTGCTTCACTCTGTGTATATTGATAAACAAAACTAAATGTTCTTCACGTCTGAATTGAACATAGAACATATGCACCAGCACTTTCTGTTCTTTCTGCTTAGATACCACAAAGAAAGACTTTCAGTCACATTTTAACAGCAGAGGACTAGAAGTTGGCACCTCCCTAATAGTGGTTATATGCAACCTGGCCCTTTGTAACCTGGGAACACCTCATCTCTCAGGCCCCATACTGCGGCTTTTATCAATTACAATCCCTTTCACTAGCGGTGTCTTTTCTTCCCAAGGCTTCTCAGAGTCCTCAGGGCCTGGAGAGGAATTCTTGGAAATTTATTTTAGGCTTAAGGATCCCTAGAGTGAGGATGTTGGGGCAGTGCTTTAAAATGTCAAGAGGAGAGTGCCATACATTAGGAATAATGCCTTTCGAGGGCTGTCTTTACTTGACACACGGATGGCTGACACTAAGACCAAGTAGTAGACGACTAGTCCCTACAAAAAAATCAATGTAGTGTGTATATATACCACATTTTCTTTATCCATTCATCTGCTGATGGACACTTGATGAAACTCATTAACTACGTAGAGAACCCCTTTTTATGGATGTGATAAATCAAAGAAAACATTGATATTAGGCAAAAAAATTAAAGAAATACTCTGTTAAATATTATTGATTATGAACATGTTACATTTTTGGATTTTAGATCCCCAATATATATAGTCTTCACTCCTTTTATTCCCTAGAAAGTATTTCCTAAAATAAAACAAAGTTTTCAGAAAGATACCCTAAACATACATGCATGGAATGTTTTCACTGCAGGAGAAAAAAAAAGCAACAATTCACCAAAAAACAAAAATGATACAAGAACTCAATATGATGTCAAATGAAAGTATAATGGTGGTGACTTTAAGGGTTTTTTTCAGAGACAGAACATTCACCTTGCCAAATATTAAAATGCTAACATTTTCCTGCCAGGAAAAAACACCAGGGATGCTCCAGCTTTTCCTCTTTGTAACACTAGGAGGTCAGTAAATGGGTTTTTCTGATTTTTTTTTTTTTTAAAAGCAAACTCATTACTATCTGTGTCACGTTTATCAGTGAAAAAAGTGATGCTGACTCAAGTTCTAATTTATCTGGTAGATTTTCCTCAAAGGAGTTTTTTTTTTTTTTTTTTTTTTTTGAGACAGATTCTCACTCTGTAGCCAGACTGAAGTGCAGTGGTAGGATTTGGGCTCACTGCAAACTCCGCCTCCTGGGTCCAAGAGATTCTCCCACCTCAGCCTCCCCAATAGCGAGACTACAGGCATGCACCACCACACTCAGCTAATTTTCGTATAGAAAAAAATTTTAATTTCTAGAAATCCTATTTGGACCCAAATTAATCTTACCTTTAAATGGGTATTCAAGGGAGAGGCCTTAATATTTTCATATATGATATGTTCTACAATACTGAGAAAATTAAATTAAAAATGTATTGTAAAATATCATGATCCTATAGAAAATTAGAGATCAACTATCTTATCTTGCCTGAAGATTCTGACATTTTGCTTCATTTTGAAAATATAACGAAACATTGCAAAATGCAGTTGAAGCCTTGTGTGATAATGATTTTTAAACATGTGTAACATTTTCTTTTCAGTTTAAAACAGTATTGCATATTAGTAAGAAAAAATTATAAAAATGATAAAAATTTAATCATCCTGATACCCCTATTATTAACATGGTGAATGTCCAACTAGTACTACAGATGCTACATAGAATTTTTCCTTGGAAAGCTTTTAATAAATACAAAATCAGAAATTACAAGTTGTTTGAAAGATGTATGTTTCCTATTATGATCTCTTTTTCAAAAACAGTAAAGACAAAGCAGCAAAACCAATCTTCAACTTATAAGCATCATGTACCCATTCAAATAAGCTTCTCCATATTGATCACTTAATAGTAGAAAGAGATTTCCCTTGTGTGTGACATTGGGGACAGATTCTTTTCCCTTTAGGTGTAAAAAAGGCTCACTTTGGAAAGTGTTTGCCATCACTGTTGTGGGTGGAACCGAGAAAGATAAACTGAGGTGTGTGGAGACAGCCACTCAAGAGAGAAGGGCTCCTGGTTACACCTCTTGACAAATTTCTCAATGAAAAACAAAGAGCAATTATTTGGCTTCTTCAATTTGTTGATTAAGCAAAGACAGCCCCACTCTTGGTCACAATGCAGACTCCTGGTTCTTATACTACTCAGATTCGAAGTACATTTACTTTCCTGATCATTGAGAGGAGGAGTTGGAAGAGTCAGGAGGGGAGTAAACCCAATTTACTCCCAAGAGGAGAGCAAGAGGAGGGACAGCTCTTGCATCACTTTTTCCTTTGTCTTCCCTTAAAAAGCTATTGCACATTATGGGCGGGAGAATTTAGTCACCTCAGGAAAGGCCTTAGGGTGGGAGGTCAAAGGAAGATTCCTTACAAAATCTTTAACGTTTTAAAATGGGAACATATTAATATAGTAATAAAAAGATGTGGGGGGCAAATTATTTTTGTCTTTAAATAATACAGGACATGGACTTATAGTAATCCAGATATTTACAAATATGAAATTCCTGAAGACTGGTTTTACCCTGCATTTAAATTGCTGTGAAGAACCTGGACAAGTGTTTAATGGCACAAATAGCATAGATATATAATGTAAGAAATACATAAAATATATATGAAATATAGAAATATAATACATATATAAATATATATATGTATTTTTTTGCAAAAGGCATAACCGCAGAAGGTCAGATACAGCAAAGGGAGTTTGATGACCATTATATTTTTAATGTATAGCACTGTATTACAAAAAGTGTTTTTGCCTTTATTTAGGTGGTGATATTATTCAAACTCTATTTGATATTTTTAATACCCTGCTCCTGTCCTCTTGATTTCTCAACCCTGCTTTAATTTTTTTCATAGCACTTATCACTACCTGTCATATCAATATTTTACTTATTTATCTGTTTGTCTAATGGGAGTTTTGTCCATGTTTTCTTTTTCACTCTTGTATTGCTAGCATCTCAGAGAGTACCTGACTCATGATAAATATTCATTAAATAAATAAAATATCACAACAAGGTGTTTGGGGCTTTAAAAAAAAAAGCAGGAAGATTTAGGCTTTAAAGCCAAACTGTAGGTTCAGGCTCTTGAATGCGTTACTTAGTGACTGAATGATATAAAATGTTATTTAACCCCTTTGCACCTCAGTTTGTATTTCTGTAAAAGAGGGCTAATCAAAGTACCTACCACGTGTGGGTCATAACAGCTAAATATATGTAGTTTTTTTGAAGTGCCTGGAACTAGGTAATTGCTGGCTGTTATTATTTATTATTAATGGAATCTTAAATTTAGAAAAAAATGGAAGGAAAATAAATTTCTGTGACTATTCAGCTTATTTTAGTATAAATTTACCTTAAGTGTTAGTAATGCAATTGGTTTATTTCCAATGTGATAAAAATGCCTTTTTTCATGAGTCATATTTCTACCTTTAAAATTATTTCCCCGTGTACATTATTCAAATTGAAATTATTATTCACCAAAAATTCCATAAATTTTATTTGAAGGCCTTTAAAGAGCTATTTTTAAAAATATTTTTAGTCAAGTGTATAGAGTGCTAGTAATTCAGTGCATCCAATCTTTGAATTCTAGCCAAGCATAAATACACTTAGAGAAATCCATTTTAGCTTGAGGTTAGACTTCTCTATACAAAGTTAGAGTTTATTTTCCCCTACCGTAATCCTTTATTTTTGTCTTTTCAAGTATTTCTTGAATTTCTAACTTGACTTTTTCTAAAGAAAAAATACTTCTTTATTTGAATAAGACACTTAGGATCACACTTGGTTGTAGCATATGGTGAACCCCACAAAAGGAGGAACCCATATTATCGCTGAACAGAGCTCATCTAATCCAACCCTCTCATTTTACAGAGCAGGAAATGAAATAGAGAATGAGGGAGTAGTGATGTATCTGAGGTCACAAAGGGATTGTAACTAGAACTCACGTGCCTGATAATACTTGATGGCAAGGTACCTTTACAATGAAATTTAACATCTCTGATACTATATGCTTCATTGCAAAGTTCACTTTCAGCAGTAGGCTGAGCCATCTGCTCTCTGAATGAGTGATTACAATCTATCATGCCCCAAATCCAGGGAAGAATTTCATGAATTAGAGAGAGAAGCCTTTAGCAGGCCCAAGGGATCCTTAGATTTTATTTTGGCAGGAGAA